CCCTCCCCGCGGGGAGCGGGCCTAAGCCCTCAGTAGGACATTCCCAAGGGCTCCTGGACTGTGAGAGGCGACAGGCCAGGCTGAGGGACTCCTCCCCAACCCCCACCCCTGTGCACTAATTTTTGTGCACCGGGCCAATTTTCGTGCACCGGGCCTCTAGTCAATAATAAAAGGTCTGATTTTAAAATATGCATTACTTTCATTTTATTAATTAAAATAAAGAGTATAATCATTAACTGGGTTTTTCCCATATTCTTTATATTGTGGACATGTTCTCTCCTTGTGATTAAAAGCCACAAATACAACTTTTACATACAAAATCACACACAGCCCAGCCAGTGTGGCTCAGTGGTTGAGTGTCGATGTATAAACCAGGAGGTCCCAGTTTGATTCTGGTCCTGGCACATGCCAGGGTTTTAGGCTCAATCCCTTGGGGGGTAGGGGTGGGGGGTGCAGGAGGCAGCCAGTCAATGATTCTCTCTCATCATTGATATTTCTATCTCTCTCCCTCTCCCTTCCTCTCTGAAATCAATAAAAATATATTTAAAAAAAGAAAAATCATACAGATAATGCCATCTAAGAAGTTAGAAGATTAGCTAAATATATGCACAAGTAATCAGAGCCTATGACTAATCTATTTTTTTCAAGTGTTCATTTTACTATAATGAACATTAAATATCAATGGCTAAAGTAAGAGCTATTTTACATCATTTTGCTGTTCAGAAGTAAACCTCATATTACAAACACCAAAGTTACTTTCAAATCCTGTACAAACAAATAACTTACCAAAATATTCCTGAACAACCATCACATACAAATGGAAGAAAATCTAAAATTGAAGGAAAATGTTATATGTACTGGTCAGTATTTGATTTTGATTTAGTTTTCTTAAGCATAAAGAATCTGCAAGTACTGAGCCACCTCCCTCGGAGAACTTTCCTTTTTTGACCAATATCCTAATGTAGCAGGTAAACAAAAGCCATCACAACCTCAAGTCCCCTGGGAGAAAGTTACTAGGTTATCAGGAGACAAATGTTACTTAGAGTAGCATGTTAAATCCAAAAAAATGTTGTTTTTGTTTCCCAGAGTTAGTAGGTGTTGTTTTCGAGGACTGCATTTTGCAAATTTCCTGCATTTTAAGTGAAAAACCTGGTTTCAATTCTGATTCCACTATTTACTAATTTAGCAATGCTAAGCAAGTTACTTAACAGTAGAGTTTTAGAGATTTTATATATAAATATATTTTTTAGTATATATACACAAAACCAGACCTATTATTAAGTATGTATATAGGTCTGTATGCATATGTGTGTGTATATATATCTATACTATATGCTATATCTACTTCACAGGATAATTATAAAAACCAAATGATATACATAAAAGGTATGAATAGTTAGAAAGCAACTATAATTCCTAAGATAATTACAACAATTAATTTGTCTTGAATATGCTCTGAGAAAAATACTGTGATGACTAGGTGGAGATATTTTTAAAGAAAGTCCAGAAATTCAATAGATTGGTGGATTGATACTGCAAAATGTAATCCTGAATTGTGTTTTTCCTTGCTGTTGAGGAACAACTAAGTTAGTATTAACTAACTAACTAACTAACTAAATAGATAGATAAATAACTACATTAGGAACAGAATTTCTGCAAAGCACATGGAAGTACCCATTCCCAGATGTGACAACTATTAACCACCGACACAATCAGTTACTCTCTAGAATGTTTTCAATGTACCTCATATTAAATCACAGCTAAAGTAAGGCTGGCTATATCTAATCACGCCACTTTTACAAAGTGAAAACAGAAGATACTGCCCTTTAGAGAAAGCTACAATTTCCCCCAAAAATCTCATCCTGCAGGTTATCTAAACTTGAAGCAGAAAGGATCTTATAACCGAAGAGACCCTGGGTAATTCTGCTGTGGGCCGAGAGGACCAGGTCGGTTCTTCCTTCCCCTGAGAACAGTCCCTGTGGTTCTGGCTGCACGATTCCATGAGCGTTTCATAGCAAGAAAGTGCGCATACATTTATCAATGCGACAGAAACAGAAACTTCTGATGTCTTTCTCAGCTTGGAAGAACTGTACCTGTTTGCTATTTTGAGACTTTCAGTGACCATGTAAACATTAGATACAAACCAAGAGGACTCAGGGGAAGAGTGAAATCAGGGTAATTTCCTGGTACCGGACACCATCTTTCTGTCCATCGGGAAGCTAACAACAGTTTTAGGATACGCACACTCCAAACCTAACTGCTGTCCTCTAGTCCAAGAGCTAGACCTCGGCCTCGTTTCAGACGTTTACACTTTAGAAGACACCGGAAGTGGGCAAGGAAGCCGACCATCTCACACAGGGCAGGTGAGGTGGACTTACAGGGTGAGCCGGGCACAGCAGCGATACAGAGCTCACCGGCAAACCCCGGCCAGGCTTCCCATGCACGACGTGCGAGGGGGCCGCGAGGGGCTGGCGGCGCAGCAGTGAGACACCGAGCGCGTCCGCAGCAAGGACCCGGCGGGAGCTGTCCTCCGCCCCCGGCCCACCGGGGCACACTAATCAGGGATGGCGCTCGCACTAATCGGGCCGACCCTCAGTCCTCTCCACAGTGACTCGGGTACCTGCACCCAGTGCCTGGAGCCGCCCCGAGCGATGCAACCTACTTGCCACCCTCCCGCAGTGGGAGCGCCAGGCGATGGCGCACGGGTGAAACCCCCGGTACCGGGACGGCGCCTGCTGTGCTGTCCGCTTCAGGAACGCCTGCCGGGGACGGGAACGGGAACCCCTAACGCCGGCCGCACTGCCCGCGCTGCTGCCCGACGGGCTGTGCGGTCAGGGTCTCCCGGCTCACACTGTTGTTAATGCTCTAAAATGCCGCTAACGACAGTCTGGACGCCGTCCTAGCTCCCGAGCTGCCTGGTAGGTGTTGGTTGCCTGGCGACAATCGGAGTCCCAGCGAGACTGAGCTGGGAGAGCAGCCCCCGGAGGAGCAGCCGGGGGTGTCAGACCCCCCGAGGAGCTGGTAAGGCCAAGCGCTTCCGCCTAGAGCTCTCTCGGGAAGGGCCCGGAACCCAGGTTCGCACTGATCTCCCGCTGCCTTCGCCGACAGTAGCAGCTTAAACATGAAGTTAGGGGAAGAGAAGCGGCGGCCCCGAGGGCGCAGTGCCAGGGCCAGAGCGGAGCTGCAGTGCTCCCGGGGCGCGACTTCCCGGCGAGCGCCCCTGAACACCCAGGTGCATGCCAGGTGTTTCCAGGAGCTCCCGGGCTCCATGCCACGGAGGCTACGCGTTCCCCTCCCGCAGAGAAGCTCCGCCCAAGCCCCCTCCCGCCGCCACGGTCCGTGGGGCAGAGCTGGGCCGACTCCGCCATCACCTCGCTGCCGGCAGTGCTCCACCTGGCAGTGCTGCCCCACGTCCAGGTCCGCCATCTCTCCCCGCCGCTGGGGAGGAGCGGGGGCCCCGGCGCGCGCGGCGCCTGCTGGGAACGTGGGGAACCATGGGCGGAGCCTGCAGCTGGGGCGGGGCCAGGGCCGGAAGCGGCTAAGCTTCTGTGTTGAGGGTGTCCTGAGTGTTTGCGGTTTGTCTCCAGGACAACCCAAAGAAAGAGCACGCTGTCCGCCTTTTTCCAGGACTGGGGTCGTCACGAGGGTCAGTAAGGAAACGCTCAGCTTCCGCGCTGGAGGGTTCGCGCTGCCGCCGGCGCCGCGGAAGGTCTCACTAGGGTTGTAGTGTAACTGGGACTAGCACGGTGCCTGGCACAGGGATTTGCCAGAGTCCAGTGAAGGAGACCACGTGGCTGGTGCGATTCCTGATTTGTCCTACACCAGTGCTGCTTGATTATATAGTTTAAAGTAAATGCCCTTTGTAAGGAAGACATTAGGCTTTTTTATAAATAAAGGTTTCTTTTTCTTTTTTCTTGCCTTTTTAAAAATCCTGGTAGAAAAAAGTCTCTGGCTCCCGAGTGCGTAGGGAACCGTAAAGGCCCTCATTAGAGAGCCCAGACGCACTGCAGACGGGGTTCCTTTGGGCCTTTGGGATGCGGGAGTCCGCGTGCTTGATGAGCCACTTCACAGGTTCAGAGGAAGGAGAGGTTGGCTGCGCGAGGCACAAATGGATGCCATTCCCAGTGACCCAGTGATGTGACACCCGGCGCCAGTCAGAGCGCACAAATGACAAATCAAACTACTCATGATGGGGACTGGAAAGGTAGCCAGCGCCCCCTTCATGACCTTGGGCATTCCAGTGCCCGCTCTGTGACCTTGGATTGTCCCTAGTCAGTCCTCACTGAGGAAGGGGGAAGGGTAGGCGTAGGAAATAGGTATCATTACTTCAGGATTTGCTCTTGAATAACTCTATTTAATAAATCCATCTCTGAGTTTCTTGAATCTCCGGAAACACTTTAGATTAGAGCTGGAAGCAAGCTAAGATATCTAGCTATACCTCAGCCTCCTTACCTGGATTTGGTATGTTTATTTTAGCTGATTAGGTCAATCAATCAATAGGTTTTCTAATATTTTACTGTTCACTCGAATTTACTAAGTAAATTCTAATTTACTAGAATGTTCTAGATAGGTGGCAAATATATATGTTATCTGTCCTATCATAATGAAAATATTTTTTTATTTTTTCAGTTCACTGAGCCCGGGGGTATAGGTATTAAATAATTAGAACAGCCAAGATTGCAGTTGCTAGCTTTTCCATCTCTACTTAGTCTCCTTTACTGACTTCTCTAGGTGCTACTTAAACATGCCTGTTTCCCCACAGTTTTGTCCTTGGTCCCTTTATCAGCTTGCATCCTCATACAAGGAAAGTTCCCATGCTTCTGTGGTCGGCAGTTAGAGAGACAGGAGCAGAGCCAGGGTGATGGGCCGGGTAGAAGGTCACCTGGTGGAAAGCCCCTGGCGCCTAGCAATGGGTGAAACTGGGAAAACAAGGACCTCGCCCCCAACGTAACCTTTCCTCCCCTGAGCATATTGCTGGTCACGCGGTTCGGACCCTCCCCTGACCTTTCCTTCCCTGGCATGCTGCTGGTCATGTGGGTTAGAACCCCCCTTAGAGGGGGAATGAAAAAGGGAGCCAAAGAGTAGCCCTTATGCATTAAGCCCCAGGACAATGAGGTTCTGACCCGAATCGATGCATCTAGGCCTCAGTTGTGTTTCAGCTCAGGGCCCAGAAAAGCAGCAAAACCAGACAAGCCTGACCCAGGACCAGCTGCATTGACTAAGGACCCCTGCCCTGGTGCTGACCCATCAGCGGAGACCGAGATCCTGAAAGGACACACCTGGAAAGCTGCGACATAGTCTATGGCAGGGGTTCTCAACCTTCTGTCCCTTTAAACACAGTTCCTCATGTTGTGGTGACCCCCAACCATAAAATTGTTTTCGTTGCTACTTCATAACTGTAATGATGCTACTGTTATGAATTGTAATATAAATATCTGATATGCAGGATGGTCT